AGAAATGGATTATCTGAGACAAAGCTGCGGTAGATGTAAACTGGAGAGAGTTAGAACCGAACAAATATGAAACGAAATGAAAATGATGACATAGAAAGAAAACAATTAATCTGGTTCGGACATGTTAAAAGAATGCCAGAGTACAGATGGCCTAGAAGAGTACTGGAATGGATCCCTTCTGAAAGAAGAAAGAGAGGACGACCATGAAGAAGTTGGCGCAACGATATTGATGAAGCCATGGCGGCAAGAGACTTAACAGAGGCAACTGCAAAATGACAGAGCAAGATGGAAATTAGGGACAGAGAAGCTGCGACAGACGTAATCAATCCGTAATTATTATATTATGTAAAAAACGCATAGAATATATGTAATATTGACAAAAAACGGAGTTGAATCGTGAACTCTCTTATACGCTACCTACAAGAAAATTTAGGCTTTCTAAATGTGGCTTGAAAATAAAATGGCATTAAAAAACAACAAAACTGATAAAGCATTAGGTCCAGACGAAATCCCTATAGAAATCTTAAAATGCATGAATGATGAAACCTTAGACATAATAGTAGACTTATTTAACTCAGTATACAAAACAGGACACATACCGAAACAATGATTACTCTCCACCTTTTGTGCTATCCCTAAAAATACAAACGCTAAATATTACAGTAAATACAGAACACTACCACTAATAAGTCACATTCTCAAATTATTCCTGAAAATAATACATGGTCGTATAAATAAAAAACTGGAAGAAGGAATAAATGATAGTCAGTTTGGGTTCAGAAACGGACTAGGAACCAGAGAAGCGTTATTGGCTTTTAATGCGTTAGCTCAAAGATGCATGGATATGAATGTTGATGTGCATGTTTGGAACGTTAATTTAAAAAAAGCATTTGACAAAGTAAGACATGACAAATTAGTTCAAATTCTAAAAACAAAAAACATAGACCACAGGGACTTACGAAAAATAACAAACCTCTACTGGATTCAAAGAGCACAAATCGTAATAGATAACGAACCCAGTCCAGAAATTGAAATCAGGAGAGAAGTTAGGCAGGGATGTATTATGTCCCCATTACTATTTAATGTATACAGTGAAGCCATTTTTGAAGAAGCATTACTATCTCAAAGTGAAGGAATAATAATTAACGGAAGATCTATTAACATCATAAGATATGCAGATGACACCGCGATTATGACAAGCTCTGCTGAACAACTCCAATTACTGATAAACAAAACAAACAGTTTCTGTGAAAAATATGGACTAAAAATGAATATAAAAAAGACCAAATACATGATAATAACAAAGAAAACAAATATACCAACAAACATACATTTGGGAAATGTACCGATAGAAAGGGTTGATAAATCCAAATACCTAGGAACCTGGATTTCAGACAATAATGATCAAACAACCGAAATACGAGCTAGAATAGAAATTGCAAGAAACGCGTTTGTAAAAATGAGAGCAATTCTCTGCAACAAAGATCTTAGATTAGAACTGAGAGTAAGAGCACCGCGATGCTACGTGTTTTCGATACTGCAATATGGACTTGAAAGCTGGACATTGAAGCAACAACACATAAATAAGTTACAGTCCTTTGAAATGTGGTGTTACAGGAGGATGCTTAGAATAGCATGGACTCAGAAGAAAACTAACACGAAAGTATTGCGAGAAATGCGGGCAAAGAATGCGAATTAATAAATACATTAAAAATAAGAAAGTTACAATATCTGGAACACGTAATGAGGGGACAGCAATATGAATTGCTAAGGCTGATAATACAGGGAAAAATTAGAGGAGGGAGGTGAATAGGAAGAAGGAAGGTGTCATGGTTGAAGAATTTAAGGGACTGATTTAAATGCAGTTCTATAGAACTCTTCAAAGCAGCAGTAGATAGAGTAAATATAGTGATGATGATATCCAACCTCTGATTGGGAGACGGAAGAATAATTGATGCGTCGAAGAATTATTCAGGTTTGTATGACCATAACTGCTACTTGTGAACAATAATCGGCTACTCTGTACTGCAGCTCGTGAGAAAACGCAAATTAAACGTGTAGTTTTAGAGGACCACTGTGTACATTTAAATTTGAGGATATTCGGGGTTTAAACGATGAAATCACTTTTACAAATACCGAAATTTTACTTTAAACGATGAAAAAATATTAATTTGGTGTCAATCTAAAATCTGTTCATAATGTAAGTTGCATACATTTGGCGAAAATCGCCCAACTGGATAGTGATTAAATGAAATACCTATTTATTTATTGATCTCTTCTACCTGTCATAAATTATTTTACCCCTCAATTCCGAGGTTTCATAAATTAATAATTAATTAATATTGAGCATGGTTTGTCAATAAATATTGGCTTGTCTGGAGGCCAAAGCTGTCAATATTAGTCCGTTGCATTTGATAAGCCAGGCTAGTAATTACTTATAGGCGAAAAAACAATATACTCGGAAAATAAACATTTTGGATCGAATTCGGAAAATCTATACAAAAATCAAGTCACTCTAAGAACAAAATAATTACTATTTAAATGGGAATAAGCCACAATTAAATGTTAAAGTACGTTTATTGACGTTTCAATTTCCACTTCGGAAATCGTTCTCAAAAAATTGATTTTAAAATTAAAATTATATTTCTTGTAAAAATTAATTAAAAGGTATGAGTGTAAAATTGATCGTATGAATGAACATTTCCTTTGTATGTTTACCATATATGTTGCCCACCTACCTAACCGTGGTTTATGTCTTGTTTGTTACAATAAAGCCGCTCTGATGAATCCCTGAGTGTGAAAAGTATCCTTGTACAATCCTGTATGAATGAATTCTAATATTCATATGTAATAACGTGGCTAAAGGTTTCAAGGCAAAGCCAATAAGCAAAAAAAAAACAATTATATCTTACCACAAGTTGGCTTCCTTTTGGAAAAACTAAATATCTTTTTTTCCTAGAGAGAATATTTCTTTTTATCACTGTCACATCATTTTTCGTAGAACAAATACATAAATAGTTCATTAACATTAAAACTAAAAATAATAATACCATACTTATAAAATTTATAATGCAATAATGGTACATTTTGTTTGACGTTGCAATATATTAAGTATTTAGAATTTTTTAAACATTTTCACACGTTTTGTCTCCCAATTAGACCGACCTCAGACATACACAATATAGTGATACTGTTAATTAAAAAACTTGATTTTGTTATTTTTAATGAAAAGTAGGTTTGAATAACGTGACAACAACCCAAAACAAGCTATTTATATTATAAAACTGTATACAAGGTTTATCACACATTAGCCATTATACACTGGGTGCAAAATTAATCAGACACTCAGATTTTCTTGTTTTTTGTTGGTGTTTAGATCAACACTTGTTTAATTTGATCGAATTGTATGTTATGCCTTATTAGCAATAAGTTTTTTTTTCATGTTTGAACCTGTTTTGATGTTTTGTTCGAACAACAACACTTTTACACATACGTTTTTGATATTAATGTAAAATAGTGGCTTAGTATTAATTTAAGTTTATTATGGTACTGTACTTGAATATAAGTTCGGCTGTAGGTTTTTGTATTGTCGCCTGTTTAAAACTTCCATTAAACAAATTATGACCCCAGAAGAAGTAGCACGAACTGTTGCTTTACAGGATGATGGGCGAAGCATTTGTTACACCACAAGTAATGTTCTGAAGCTATTTTCTTGTGGCATTGTAAATTAATTACTATTTAACTGGGAATAAGCCACAATTAAAGATAAAAATACGTTTATTGACGTTTCAATTTCCACTTCGGAAATCGTTCTCAAAATACAAAACGTTTTGTATTTTGAGAGCGATTCAATTTCTTCTCGTATAATGTCAGGCCCAGTATTATCTTTAAATTCTTTTGGTGTTTCTGTTCTCTCTTTGTCTTCAAAAAGTTGTGCTATATATTGTGCCCATCTCTGCATTTTTTGGTTTATATCTTAAGTCTTATTATAAGTGCACCCCTTTCATCTCTTAGTTGCCTAGTTTGAAGTGTTGTTCTTATTCCTGTTAATTCTCTAATTTAAAATGCTTTTATGCATGTTAAAAAAATCATATTTTTTCTTAATTTCTTCTAGTTCTTGGCACTGCTCATGTAACATTCTCTCCTTAGCTTCTTTTTTTCTCTTTTTTATTAATCGATCAGTTTCATTATATTTAATTATATTTTTTGTTTTGAATGATTTTCTTTCATTCATTAATAGTAGTATTTCTTCAGTCATCCAATCTTTATGTTTTCTATTCTTTGGTTTAAAGTTTTCATTTGCTGTTTTAATTATTGCTACTTTTATATTTTCCCATTTCTGATCAATGTTATAGCTACTTTTATTCAGTTCTTGGGCATTACGTAGATTTTCAGTAAGAGTTTTTACAGTTTGTTCCTTTGTTTGTGGTTCTCTTAATCTCTTAATATCAATTCTACTTTGTGTGGGTTTTTTAACCAGTTTTAATTTGGTTCGTAATGTGACTACTATGGGGTTATGGTCTGAACCGATGTCTGCTCCAGGGTAAGTTTTGGCAGACAGTATAGAATTACGAAATCTTTGTCTAATACGGACAAAGTCAATTTGATTTCGGATTATTCTATTCGTTGTATCACCGGGAGATTTCCATGTATACAATCTTCTTTTTGGTAGCTTAAAAAGTGTATTAGCAATCTTCCGTCTGACAAAATTGTATCAAACTGTCAAAACGTTTATTTGTATTTCCTAGACCATATTCCCCCACATATCCATCCAATCTTCCCTGGCCAACTTTGGCATTGAAGTCGCCCATTACGGTAATTACGTGCGGCTAAACAAGTCCGGTACTCTAGGGTTAACCTTTAGACATCGATTAGTACTTTTTCTTTGTATAATATATACTTCGAATTTTTGAAACTCAATTGTAATGTAGCTTAGCTTATTTAACGTTATTTAAAACCTTTAAAATACGAAAAACAAAATGTTTTTGAGAGATTTATTTATTTTATGTAGAGTTATTTAACATTTTATTCATAATGCGGACTAACTTCCAGAAGGACATGTTCCATAATTGATATTGAACATTTCTTCTCCAAATCGTCGGTGCACAATTGTTCGTTATTGAAATTTTCCTTGGAATAACTAAAACATAAAAACAGAATAACATTTTTAGCTTACACAATAGATCTATAAGTAATAACAAAAAAAGTCAATAATGTATAGCAATTATAGCAAATAAAATAAAATTATTTAAATCTAAATTCAAAAGAATACAAAAAGATTACAAGAATTCTGTTGTATAAAAATGAAACCAACCCGCACTTGGTTTTAAGTTAACTGTCTGTTTCTCACTGTTTTTAGTTTAATTAATTGTTCTACCATGTATTTTTTGGAGTCGACACCCACCTACATAGAAAACTGTGAAGTTTTGTCCAGCGTATACGTTTCTTCAAACAGTACTACCCACGGTTGTATCGGGAAGCATGATAATAATCTCAGAAGACACCGGTCTAACAGCCCGAACAAACAGTTTAACAATTAGACGATGAACGTGAAAGCCTAACGCAGTTTATAATCACATGTTGGGATGTTTCGAAAGAAAAGTACTAAGGCGAATCTATGGAGCCGTGAATGACAATGGGTTCTGGAGAAGACGATAAAACTACTAGGAACCTGATATCGTAAAACATATTAGGATTTGACGTTTGAGGTGGACAGGCATGTAATGCGGATAAAACAAAATGACCCAGCTAGAAAAACGATCCTTGATAGACCCATTGACCTACCCAAAACTACCCACTGGGTAGTTTTGTAGCCATCTGTTTTCTCAAGCCATAATAGCACTTATTGGCAAGCACTATTCTTCTTTTAATTTCTTCGCTGATATTGTTGGATTATTGGTGTCTGATAATTCTATTGTTGGAACAATAGAATTATCAGACACCTTCGTGACGGTCATAATTTTGTCGCTGACAAATCATGGACAGGAAGGAGTTTTGTCAGTAGGAAACGTGGCGTTGCTATGACGTTTCATTAGTTAATAGTACATTGTTTACCGGGTAGGAAAAGCTTAACATTCCTGGACGACTGTGAAGATTGCTAAGTCGAGGCGCAAGCCGAGACTTAGCAACACAGAGTCCGGGAATGTGGCTTTTCCTACGAGGTAAACATACTATTTTTCCGCAAATCGTTTAAAATTCGACAGATATTGATTGATTAAAAAAAAACGTGATAATTTTATTCCCAAATAAATGGTGCTTTGAAATTCCTAATAAAATTACTTGGGTTACTATGGAAACGTATTGAGGTTGAATTGTCAAACTTGACAATTTATGTAGAACACTAACAACTGTACGGAAATATCATTTCCTTACAGTAAGGAAATGACATTTCCTTACAGTAAGGAAATGACATTTCCTTATAGTAAGGAAGTCCTGACTTTTTCTTCAAGAAATTTTGACAGGAATGTCAAAATTTTCTGGCGATTTGCGGAAAAAATAGTTTAGTGAAATAGTCACTTTAATATTTACAAATATCTTAAGCAAAACACAAAAAAAAAATAAAATAAAGAAATTATTATTTTTATTTGAGGTGTTTTACTGAACATTGAATACTTGAATCGAAAAATATTATGAAAAAGAAAAATTAATACATACTCGAATATAAGCAGTAGAATATCTTTCATCATGGATTTTCCTTTCATTGGCATATATTGCTTAGCGTCGCACATCATTTTTGTAATACATGCTGTTCCATTATAACCATACCTAAAGATTATAAATTTAAAATTTTATAAACCTAACTTATACTTACAAAATGTATCCAACTGATAAGCTTTTTCAATGTTTGCGTAAATGTTACAATCTAATAAAATTATGATATTTACATAGTCAGTGCTCGATCCAAAGTAGAATAAATTTCTCTTTTGTTTCTTTTTATCCAACCAGATCTTCTCAATATTCGTGTATCAGATGGAAGAGCAAAAGGACAATCCATTTCTCCTAAAACATTCCAACCTGTTGGCTGAGGTCTCATTAAGGCTTTCACAGCTGCCATAGATATCTGAAAATAGAATTTTAGTACGTAGTAAAACGGAATCCCACAGTAACGAACAAATTTTTCAGCATAGATAGGATTACGTGGGGTTCAAAGGAGTAGTGAGGCGCAATACAAGATGTTGCTTCCAGACAACACCTCTGTGGTGTTCACGGCACCTCGAGAAGTGTGATCTTGATCACACGGGTGAACCCTGGTAAACCTGAGCGACCCTATTGGAGATTGGGTAACCAAACCCAATGGAAGGTAGAGTCAGGGCGGACGAGGAAGGTAGAAAGCATAACTTGTTCATAAGCTATAGCCAGCAGCCCTGGCACTGGAGTCGGGTGTAATAGCCAACGATCAAAGCTACGCAATAAGGACTTAATGATGGATTTGCGGTTGGGAACCTGGAATGTCCAAACTATGCTGCAGGCAGGCAAAATGCAAAGTATTGCACAGGAACTATTGAAGTACGAAGTAGACATAGCAGCTCTCCAAGAAATCAGATTTAAAGGGCATGGTTGCATAAATAAAAAAGAATACAGTATGTACTACTGTGGAGCAGAACGACAAGGAGACTTTGGAGTGGGTTTTCTGGTAAACAATAAATGCCGCAGGTCAGTATTGGGTTTCACTCTAGTTAATGAAAGAATATGCACAATACGTCTAAAGGGAAAATTTCATAATATTACAATTATTAATATCCATGCCCCAACAGAAGTAGCAGATGAACTAGTAACCGATCAATTCTATGACCAACTATAAGTAGAATGTGAAAACGTACAGAAGAAGATGCAGTTATAGTCCTGGGTGATATGAACGCGAAGCTGGAAAAAGATCCAATATATGCAGAATCCTTTGGTAAGCATAGTTTACATGATATTACCAACAAAAACGGTATAAGAGTGGCACAGTTGGCAATGGTAAACAAACTAAGAGTGGTTATAGAGGCGCAAGTTGCGATTCGGACCGTTTCTTGGATATATTAAAGATGAAATAAAGAATATTAATAGTAAGAAAAGAGAAAGGCGCCAAATAAAGAAAATGGAACACATGTATGTTTAAAAATCCTAAAAAGAAGAATGAGTACCAGCAGAAAATAAAAGTAATACTAAATGAAAGAGGAGAACAGGACAACATTAAAAAAGAATGGAATGTCATCCAAATGACAACTGCAAATATGACAAAGGAAACATTAGGTAAAACCTCAAGCAAAAGAAACGAGGAATGGTTTGACCAAGATTGCCAACAAGTAATAAATAACAAAAATATAGCTAGATAGAAATGTCTACAAACAGATTCCCGATTGAATAGAGGGGCATATGAAGAACTCATGTAGAAAATATGTACAAGGAAAAAGGAAGAAATGTTGAATAAAAAATACAACAAATTACAGATTATAATAAGAGAAGAGAAACTAAAAAAGTTTACAAGGAAACTAAGCAATACACCTAATGATACATGACAAGATCAACAGTTTGCAAGGACAAAAATGGGGCAATTATCAGCGAGAAAGAGCAAATAATAAAACGGTGAAAGGAACATTTTCAAGAGTTGTTAAACCCAGAAAATGAACAAAACGAAGATGAAGAAATAACTTACCACACAGCAGAACAACTAGTTGAGCAATCAACATTGGAACAAACAACAAATGTCATAAAGCATCTAAAAAATATCAAAGCACTTGGCACCGATGGAATAACTGCAGAACTGATAAAGAATGGTGGACATGCGCTATGGAGGTATCCATAAACTAATCGACCGCATATGGACACTAGAAGTCATCCCAAAAGATTGGAAAGTAGGAATATTACTTCCTATGTGCAAAGGAGGAGACAAACAGTTTTAAATATCGTCTACAAGATATTATCAGCAATTATATACAGCCATCTGGAATCGTTTTCGGAGGAGATGATTGGTGAATACCAATGTGGCTTCAGACCAAAGAGGTCAACTATAGACCAATTACATATGTTAAGAGGTATACATGAAAAATGTGTTAAATATAACATACCTACCTATTTACAAGTTGTATATCGATTTCAAACAGGCGTTTGATGGAGTAGATCGACAAAATATGTTAAAGCAACTATATATGTTAGGGATAACCAATAAGTTGGTTAAACTTATACGAATGACTCTGGAGGGTTCCAAAGATGTATTAAGAATAGATGGAGATATGACGCAGGCCTTTGATATTGAAAATGGAGTTAGACAAGGTGATGCCTTATCGACAACACTTTTTAACACTTCGAGAGAGTAGTATGGCGTTGTCTTCATAGCATTTCATTTTAAGTTGATTTTCTCTTATTTGGTAATTGCCGCTTGAATATCATAAGAATTTGTGAAGACGGCGATTATCTACAAGGCCTTTGTCTTTATCAATTGAGTACTAGTTCGTAAATATCTTTAAATATTTGCCTGAGCGATGATAATCGTAAAAAGTATAACTTTTAATGACAAATACAAACTGATGACTTAATTAACGTTACTTCAGGTTTTGCAGTTGCAGATTTTCGGGATATCTAGAAATATGTATATAAATCAGGTGGTTTATATCGATCATCGTTAGGTTTTGCAAGAATATTCTATTATTTTTTTGAAAAAAAAAATGTAAATTGAGAACCATTTATTGAGTGTAAATCAAAACATCAAAATAAAACTTATTTTATAGTGTATTTTTATGTATGAGAGAGTAATAAAACAATAAATTATATATGCAAATCCCTAAACTGTTGATACGGGTGACTCAATGAAAAACAGATATTTGTCAACAAGTTTACAGAAGTATATAGGAAAACAATTTTAAATTGAGTATGACCACCAGGTATAAAGGTTGGAGCAGAATAGAATACAATACTTGTGAGGGTTACTAATCCCTAAATAAGGTTGCCAGTGTCGGAGTGATGGAGGATAACAGGTACTAATGAATTTGCAAGAAATATAAGATGTTTATTTTATTGGTTATATATAACCAATAAAAGTTTAATAAGTACCTACCTATTTGCAAAATAAAGTTTAATTCTTTAGATAAAATAAAACGTTTTATTTTATCTGAAATGAGTGCATTCCACGAAGTAAGGGTTTCAACAATCAAACATTTAATTCTTTAATTCCAGGAATCTACGACAGTAATTGACTAGATAATTACCTTTTAAACTTATTCCACAGAAAATGTGATAATGGGTTTTTCCATTTTGTAGGAAGGTCCAAGTGGCGTATTCAAAATTCTTAATAGTTCACTAAAAGTAGGAACTTCAGTTGCAAGGTGCAGTTTATTGTGTATACTAGTGTTATGGAAAATTTGGAAGTGCCGTGTAAACGCCGAAAAATTGGTCCTTTAACAGTTAATGAAAAAAAACATTAATATTTAATTGTTTTAAATCATTTACAGACAAACGTTTATGTGAAAGTGTAGATGAGACCGTTGAATTAGTTAGCAGTACACTTGGTATTGGGAAATCTACGATTTACAGAGTTATTAAAGAAGAGAAATGTGGTAGTTTTCAAATGCCACGTAATGCTCCAGGGAAACCAAAATTTCAAATAGAATATCATTTTAAAGAAGGACTTCGACGGAAAGTGCATGAATTCTTCTTTAGACAAGAATTTCCAACATTGGATAAAGTTCTTGTCTCAGTTCGAGATGATAAGGATTACCCAGAAATGAGTCGAAGTACGTTATGGAAATTTTTAAAAGAAATAGGCTTCCGCTGGAAAAAGAATCCCTGAAAGTCTATTTTATTAGAAAGAAGCGATATTGTCATATGGAGAAGACATTTTCTAAGAACCATAAAGGAAATGAGAAACAAAAAAAAAAATATTTAATCTTGATGAAACATGGATCAACGAGGGTCATACACCAAATAAATTTTGGCAGGATGAAGCTGTTACAAGTCAAAGGCACGCTTTTGTAAATAACTTATCTACTGGTTTAAACCCACCATCAGGAAAGGGACGCAGGCTGATAATAGTACACATTGGCAGTTCAGACGGTTTTGTTGAAGGTGTTTTATTAACTTTTGAATCAACTCGTACCGGTGACTACCATGAAGACATGAACGCTGATGTCTTTCAAGAATGGTTCGAACAAATGATAGATCTTCTTCCTAAGAACTGTGTAATAGTAATGGATAATGCAAGTTATCAATCCAGACTTATAGAAGGACTGCCCACAACCAAGTGGTTAAAAAAAGACTTGCAGAATTGGCTGAGTTCAAAAAATATTACGTACCATCCGGATCTATAAGAAAGGAACTTTATTCGTTGTGTGCCCTTCATAAAGAAAAATTTAAAAAATACGAAATTGATGAAATTGCCAAAAATCGTGGAATGACAGTACTTCCCCACCATATCATTGTGAATTAAACCCGATTGAACTGGTATGGGCACAGATAAAGAGTGAAGTTTCAAGAAAAAATACCACTTTTAAAATTCATGATGTTAAACAGTTGTTTTTGGAGGCCATAAATAATGTAAAACCTGAAAACTGGGAAAATGCAGTATGCAGTTATTATAAATCTTGGTTCTGAAAGTTCATCTTCTGAATCTGATTTGGATTTGTAACAAGTAGCTGTAAGTTTTATATTAATATTTTTATTCATCTATTTAACATACCTTAGACGGTTTTAAAAACTCTTTTTCTTTTTTGTAATTTTTAAAAATTAAAAAAAAATGTGAATTTTTTAAAACTCTTTTTAATGTAGGCCAGTCAGTTCTAATATAGTGTGTGATAAAAGAGGTCACTTTTGTTTACATACACATAACACTTTATAACACTGAAATAATTCATTTATTTTTTACAATTATTCAAAGTAATTTTTCAATTAATCTTGAGCACGCAAATGGAGTGGTCGGAGGTACCAGTTAAAATTATGCTAATTACTCTCTCGTTCATAAAAATAAACTATAAACCGAAATTATGGTTAATTCCCACTAAAAATAGTAAATACTAAAAGGAATTTACTATAATAAGAGAAAGAAGACTCAAAAAAGGGTTTCTGAAAGTATAATAAAAACAAACGTAAGTATCTACTTTATTTAAAAATGTATTTCCAATAGTCCTTTTAGCTGTCATTTGTAACAACTTTAAAACCTGATTGAAAAACATCTTTACGAAAACGGGAAAACGTTCAGTTTTTTGATAATATATTCATGAGACTGCAGGAAAAGGTAAATCGTGAGCGCTAAATGTTTGATGAAGAAAATAATCGCGTTAAAACCTTTCCATTTGAAGCAATCGCAATCGGTGTAACTAAATAAATAAAAGTAAAATGGCCACGTCTTAGTATGAGGTTTACTAGTATCGGTTTAAATAAATTATCATATAACTTCATGATAATATAATTAAATCGAAACCTTTTTAGACTTTATGTACAGAAATGTGGGTATTAAGAATGTAGAATTTTTCAGGGCATGGTGTGAAAGGAGTTCTTATATACAAAAAATCACAAATCATTTCTTTTTAAGGTAACAGAAAAATATTGTAAATAAATATACTAACCGCCATATTGCTCCCAGGTGGAAAGAGTAAATATCGTTTTCTTCTGCTTAACAGCACATTTTTTCTGTTTACTACTGTCACATCGCTTTGACCACAAATTATTCCAAAACTTGTAAATAATATTAAGTTAAAAAGAAAAACCATTGTCAACGTATGTTCGCCATTAGCATAAATCTATAAAGAATTTAAAATTAATTAATAAAATAAATAAAATTAATAAGCGTTTGCTATATATATATATATATATATATATATATGAGTGGCTTCATATCAAAGACGGACATTTGCAAAAAAATAAAAATTTAGTTAGAAGTTGTTTCTTATAGAATTTTTCCTGTTCTTTCCAACGGTGATAATAGTTTCCTTCAAACACGGACGCAAATATGTTATTTTCGACTTTAAAGTTGAATGTTTGTTTCAAAAACGGACTCCTGTTATGAAGGTTTATATCAAAAATGGACATCTCCCTAACAGCCAATAAGAATGCTGTATTGTGATCACATGACTGCGAGATTAACAATGGCCGCCACTCCTTTCAACGTGTCTGATGTGAATCGTTTTATTTGTGTTTATTACTAGTTTAAACTGTTTTTTGTGCAAATTATTAGTTATAATTGGATATTCATGGAGTTAAATATATCTGTGAGTCAAGGGACGACTCGTAAGAGGAAGAGCGATCCCAAAAAATGGAAACGAAACATCCAGAAACGGCAAAGGTAATTCTAATCATTGAACTCAATCATGCACTTAAACTTTTAATTGCTGTAAAAAAGTGTCAATAGTTGGGTGGAAGTTTGATATGGTAGAAGTTACTGTATATATTTATCCGAGTTATGAATAATTTTTAAGTAATATGATAATGTCTGATTTTAAAATATGAAGCTTGAAAGTTGGCTGTAAAAACATGACCAGCTTAGTACCACTTGTTGAAGTTTTTCAAAAAATTGAGAGATTCCTAATGAAAATTCTAGATAAATAGATAGATCTTTATTTAAACAGAAAAACCTAATATACATACAATATAAAAAAAGTACACTATACATTTTTGATATGTTGTTTAAGCAACATTTTGAAATTATTAAGGCTAGTACATTTTTTTACAGCTGCAGGTAACTGATTAAATTTAAGGAAGCTTTTAAAAAAGAGCGAATTTATCGTACTTTTATACATAGTTCTACCTATTTATTTAGTCTATTCACTAAATTAACTAGAGTTTAATTATTTTCTCTTTTTGTATGTTCATGCAGGTACTCAGCCAAAGGTCATCCTCTGTACCCCACCTGTCATCACCGAGTTGGATACCAGTGCCAGCTTTTAACAATGCGTGATGTCATAGAGTTCCACAAAGCCTTTTACTCCATCCCAGAAAAAAGCAGGCAAGATGCTTTCATTTTGAAATACTGTCGGGCTGGCCCACCCAAGCCCAAAAGAAAGAAGCTTGATCCTATAACGGGGAAAACCACAATCTTCCAATATTCGGTTGCAAACTACGCTGGCAACAATCTCAAAGTTTGCAGGGATGCTTTTCTCAAAGTGTTGCAGCCTATTACTAAGCATAGAATTATAGGAGTGTTTCGAAATTTCAAGAAAGGTGTATCTCATGTCCCAGTGGAAACCCGAGGCGGAAACCACAAGGAAGTTAAGTTTGCTCCGAAAAGAGAAGAGGTAAAAAAGTTTATTTGTAGTTTTAAAGCTATCGAATCGCATTATTCACGACATCACTCATCACGTGTCTACTTACCATCAGACCTGAATATCGCCAAAATGTGGAAAATGTTCAATTATGGTAAAGAAGAATCTGAGAAAGTTACCCAGGGATTTTTCAGGAAAATATTTTGCTCAGATTTCAACATTGGATTCTCTTGCCATAGCATGGATGAATGTAGTACTTGCATAGAATTACAAAACCATATCCAAGTAGAAAAAAGGGAGGAAGAAACAAGGTCTCTAAAAATAAAAATGGAGTTACACAAGAAACAGGCCCAAGCCTTCTTCCAACACCTGCGAGAAAAACCACAAGGATGTTTTATTTTGAGTTTTGATTGTCAGAAGAACCTTGTATTGCCAAAAGTGACCGATCAAAGTGCGTATTATTCTCGACAGTTTTATTGTTATAACCTTGCACTAGTTAAAGGATTGTCAAATGAATCCCTGAATCCCAGTACTGTCTCAATTTATTCCTGGACAGAAGACGAAGCAAAAAAATCATCCAACGAGGTTGCTTCTACTGTATTCAATGAGTTGAGATCAGCTGATCTCTTAGGATATGACTCCATTCGTTTGGTGTCTGACGGGTGAGCGGGACAAAATAAGAATATAAATATTTTAACTATGTGCTGCAAGTTTCTGGATAGCTATGCTCCAGCAAACATACGGAAAATTGAAACAGTCTTTCCTGTAACCGGGCACTCATTTCTTCCTGCCGACAGAGTATTTCGGATGATAGAGAAAAATTTTAAAAAAATCAACACAATTGTGACAAAAGAAAAATATCATGAAATTTTTAAAAAATTTGGGACGATTAAGTTGATTGGAAGGGATTGGATACCGTTGGACTGGAAACAAGAAGCGAAAAGTTTTATGAAAACAGCGGCTCAACTTCATTTCAAAATTTCCACCTGCCGGCGAATAGTTATTCGGAGAACTAAATTGGAAAACATAGTTGTGAAAGGAGAGATGGCTTACAACGTTGACACTGGTGCAGAGAGAAAAATTTGTAAGGCCAACTGCACTATTGGACAGATCAACCAAAAGAAATTCGTATTGGTGTGCCCCTGAAAGCAGAAAAGGTTAAGGACGTAGCAAAATTGCTTGAAAAACATTTTGGAATAAATTGGAGGGAGAATGATACTTTGCAGTGGTACAAAAATATAATGCAAGCAGAACCTGAAATTTCGGCTGAATGTGACGATTCATGTGAGTGTGAAAATAATGATCATACTGATTTTGATGGTGATCTTGTGTTAATTTCAATTTGAATCTTAATAAAGTTTAAAAAATATTTTATAAGTTCAAATATTTTACTTTATATATTTTTAGTTAAATTGCTGTTTAGGTAGGTACTAATGCAACTTGAATAAAACATTTTAAAATTGGAACTTTTATTTAAAATACCTGATTCCCTATATAAATGTTATAAGCAATAAATTTTAAGTTAGGTCCAAGTCGAGTGTTTACTCTTTCAAATACAATTTGTTGGTTTCAAAACCGGACACCTACCATCACATTTGTATCAAACATGGACATTTACCCAATTTTGTTTCAAAAGCGGACATCTGTATTTTCAAATAATAATTTTATAATAATTTCATATATTTCTGATATCAGAATGTCCACAAGATTACTTTTGAAGCCTTCACTAAAATTATAAGAAGTGAGATTTTTATAAAAAGAATAATAGCAGCTGTGTACAAAAAAACCAATTTATCTCCATTTTTCTTGCATGACACATGTCCGTCTTTGATATTAAGCCACTCATATATATATATATATATATATATATATATATATATATATATAAAAGTTAGGACGACTACTCTCACTGTTTGTCGAATAACTCCTAGCGGCACCTAGGTAAGAAATCTGAACTACCAACTATGTACCTGTAACTATCTGTTAGATAGGACAATATTTCAGGCCACCAGAACCAGAGTAGAACAAGTGACATTTTTTCATATTTAGACTTTATCACAAAAAATGATGTGAAATAATAATATTTTCAAAGCCACAGTGGCCCAAGATTAGTTTTCTCCGAGAATAACAGATGGCAACACTAGTATTGTTTTGGCATTGTAATTTTATACTCAATTTTAAAAATCATAGTGACCCAGGTAACTTGGGCCACTCTGGCATTGGCAAAGCTTAACTGTCATTGTGATTATTATTGAGAGGTTATTTGCGTTTCTCATTTTATAACAATGTTTTAATTAGAAAATGAATAAAAACATGAATGAAAGTGAGGGTGAAGGCGCGGAAGGCACTGCATATAACGTAAAAGGTGAGTTTCTCTGTTATTTAACCAACAATCCAACTGTTATAACCTTTCTCAAGTTAACATAACCTACAAAAACATTAACTGTACTGTTTTAATTTTATCAAAGCTTACATCTTACATAAATAGTAATTATTGTTGTGTTTGTTTGCTGCAGATGTTCCTGGAGCTGCAGCAACTGCACATGATGGAGGGAGTGGGGCTGAAACTACTAATAACATCGAAAATGAATTACGAGATATTCTTGGATCAAGCCCAGAGGAGCCCTATCAGGATTCAGGTTCCCAGTATGTTCCAGATTATCGCAGCAGGAGCTCTTCGCCAAATTTGCAACATATTCTTGAAGATTTGTCTAAGAAAATACGTGGAAAAAAAATTTGAGAAAAAACAAACGAGCTAAAGGTGAGGAATACACTAACACTAAAGGCATTCTCGTTCTTGCTAAAATGATAAATACACAATATCGATGTCCCTGTAAAGAAAAATGCCACGAGAAGGTCGAACCTGAAAGACAAAGAATACTATTTTCCAAATTTTATGGATTATCAAATTTCAATTTGCAAAGCTCATACTGTGTTCACTCGTAAATGTCGTAATTAAAGCAAGATCATGTAAACAAAATGCAGACGATGTCACAACAAAGCCGAGAGAATTTTCCAGACTGTATCATTTACCAGATATGAACGGAAGACAAATTCGTGTTTGCAAGTCATTTTTCAAACATGTCCTTCAAGTATCAGATGGACTTCTCACAAGGGTTTTGAAAAATAAATCAGTTGGTGATACACCCCCTACTGACAAACGAGGTAAACATGTCCCAAAAAACAAAACCCCTGAGCTGAAAGAAAATAAAGTAAAGGAGTTCATTAATACTTTTCCAAAAAACGATTCACACTACACCAGACACAAAAGTGAGACAAGACAGTATTTGCCACCTGACTTGAATTTGACAATAATGTATTCCGAATATAAAAAGAAAGTCAGCGAACCTGTTTCTAAATACATCTTTGAAAACATATTCAACGAGAAGTTCAACTTATCATTCCATGCTCCTATAACAGATTCATGTAAGAAATGCGATAATTTCAAAGTAAAAATAGAGGCTTGTGAAAATAATGAACATTCCAAGAAGGCAGAACTTACCACTGCCAAGGAGATTCATTTAAGAAAAGCGGAAAGTGTC